GAGGGGTTTGCCCATAATCGCCACGCTGGGCAGGCGGGTTGGCGATCGCAGGGCGTAGCTTGTCGCACCGGTAACGCTGCTGCCCGTCACCGGCCTGTTGTATTTAGCTACGCCTATTGGGATGGATATACCGCCATCGGTCGGTCGCCAGAGCCTCGTTCGTCGTTCAGCAGGATGCACCGCGGGCAGGTGAGGTTGGCTTGGGGCGAAAGATGGTGGTTCGCCCCTCACACCCCAACCCCCCAAAAAACTACCACCCCAACCACCCAAAAAACTATATTTATATGTATTTGTATCAGTTGTCTAGTACCCATAGTACAAGCTCTGCTTAGTTTGAGACTAGATGGCGTTCTGTGAATATGGTAGAATATAATTATTTCATGATTATTATTATATTATATTGGCAATATGAGCAATCAAAATTTTTTTCATTATTTATTCCGCTAATCTCCCTCCGATCCTTCCTACTTAATTACACAAATGGTTAAACCTATATAAATATGATGTTCCGGCGATATTGCTTAAATAGTTGCTATGAGCTTGGAAGGAATGTACATAATTTCATTGCAAAAGAATTCTACTATTTTCCTCCAAAATCATTTTATCGTTTGACCGACCGACCGTCTGACCATCGTATATCTTTGTTAAAAAGTTTGTAGTTTAAAAGCGAGTGATATTCGACAAGAGTTTTGTCAGTATTGATATTAAATCACAATTTATATATATCTATCGTGTCTAGAAAATACAATGGCAGTGGTTGACGTCACAGAATTGCAGCAAATCCTTCACAAACAAATAAAAGAGTAGATTTTTTTACTGTCGCTTCTGTTAATATTATTAAAATTACTGTGATGTTACGAGTATGTGAGAAATCATTACATCTAGCAATCAATTATTATTAGACATCGTCTCTCAGTTGATCGACCATTTCGTTGTTTAATTTCATAGACCAGGATAACTTGAACTGTCTCTGTATAGGCTTTCACAGTGACAGTTCAAAATACATACTAAACCAGTACAGCTGCATGTAAAGATTTTGAGAAAAAAAAATATTTACGCATCAGTATATTTTGGATATACGCATCTTTAGACGTAGGATTCCTCAAAGTCTTTAGCACAGATTCAGCATGAACTGATAAAACAAAATAAATTTAAGCATACGTCGAGCCCAAAAAATAGTGTCCAACTGTTAGCCACTTAGTTCCTTTCCGCTGTTGATGTGTTTCAGACGTGTTATCGCTGTTGCTATAAAAGCTAATTGACATTTGCATTTGCACTAGCATTATAAAGTTGTGTTAGTTGTTTTGATCTAAGAATACATCACGAAAATAATACATTTCGTTTATTTAAACGCAAAATGGCTAGTTTTTTGCTGGTTTATACAAAAAGCAGTATGAAAAAAATCTTAAGCACCGAGCAAAAGTTTTTCTATTAGATAACAACACCTTGTTATGACGTCTAATTGAATATGTGTCGATGCTGAACCAGGACATGTATTTTATTAACAGACTTTTAAAAAAGACAAGTTCTCAATTTGTTTGTAGGTTTTTTATGTCTTACCTCAGAACTCCGTCATGCCTGTCACTTATGAATCGATATACTCCCTGATAGGTCCCATTCAAATCTAAAGTGAAATACAACCTTTAAGGGTGAAATGTTCCTTAATTTTCCACCTTCAAGGGAATGTAATAAACTGTATTCATATCCGTATTATTATTTCTGATGATTGTTATATATGTATTACGAAATATTATTAAGAATACATCATCATCACCACCATCGACAGCCTTTAATAGTTCACTGGTGGACACAGGCCCCTCCTTAGAAAGGAGGTTATGGTTTACCAGACGCTTTCTACGCTTTTTACGCTTTCCAGACGGGTTGGTATAGGGTTTGTTTCAAGTTTTCCTTCTCTTTGCAGTGCTGTTGTCCTGTGTAGTTTGCTTTCTTAGTCAGCTCTTAGGACACCCACGGGATGAATAGGGGTGGTGACACTCTATTAGATTCTATTAAAAATACCTACAGTTTATTACAATTCATACTACTATGTTATTGTCATTCCATGAGTTATTGTGAACGGGATATTTATCATTTTCATTTTCGAAAATTACTTGCCGATATTTCAACACTGTTGCAAGCACCATCATGATCATGGGGCTTTTATGATTATCAATCCTGATGCAAGCGCATTAAATGTGGTGATATGGGTAATTTTTTGAAGATAATTATTGTAATCATAATTCATGAACCATCGTTGTGATTATATCTACCATATCTCTATATAATCTGGTCTTTTTTCTAACTGTGCTCAAGGAAACTAAAAGTTGTTCCGTGTACTCAATACTAAATATTTTGATAAAGGTAGCGACAAGTCTAATTTTCTTAATATTATGAAATACGTCAAACGTTCTTCATAATTTGAACAATCTCAATCGGTCACATGCTGATCAGGATAAAAAAAACTGGATAAAAAAGCAAATCAAACTAATAATTACTGAAATTGCAATAATCTTTTATCAACAGATTAAAAGTATTATAATAAGTAGCTTATATGTTATGTTGGCTTTGATCTAAAATTATCTAAATATAATTTACAGTACTTTAATGCGACTGAACTTTGATCTCTAGTTTCCCAAGATTGTTTCTAATATCCTAAAATTCAATCCTGATGGTTGTTCTAAGGACAACTAAAACTACTTCTGTAGTACCTTACTAGTAACTGATATGCAGATAGAGTACCTGTAAAATTAAAATTCTAGTACTAACCACCGGGAACTAACTACCTACTTCCACCGTGGGAGAGCCAGGCATCGGCATGAATGGGCCGACTCAACGGAGTGATACCACGGCTTCACAGAAAACCGGTGTTAAGCAATTCTTTCGTTGCCTTTCACTGAGTGAGTGAGGTTACCGGAGCCCAAATCCCCCCGCTGACTCGAGCGGGAGGGACTCCAAGGGCAGCAACGCACTTGCGACTTTTGAGGTGCAGGTTTCCATTGGCGGCGTTAGTTGCTTACCATCAGGTGACCCGTCTGCTCGTCTGCGCCTTAAGGGATTAAAAAAAAATTAAGGTAAGAGTACGTCGAAATTATTAGGGTTCTTGATGACAACGGATCCCTAAATGTAATAACATACCAAAACCGAAACATGCACATGTATCGTATGTATCTAATCTTTTAGTTGCGTTTATCTTTTATTTATAAATTACACTGACTTAAGGTAGAATATTTTAATTTCTGTTCAATAGGAAAATTTCAATTAATTAAAATCTGCACTGCACATATTGCAAGAGTACAGGCAAATTCACGAGCCTTTTTTTGTTGACGGGTTGGAAAATCCCTTCGGATCTCCTGCTCCTCGGGGACTCAGGAGCCAGGAGTATGTAATGATTCCACTAAAAAGGTGTCCTACTCTGCGAGGACCCGGACCATGTTATTTCAGGGCCTCCCCGATTTGACACCATACCTAATCAGGCCCTATCCCAAGGGAAAACACTTCCTAATTGCGTCTAAATGCAATCAGGCTGCCATTCTATCCCACTCTCTGGTAGCCTGCGGCCCCGTCGACGGCTGGTATCGTCGCCGACGTCTTGTACGTTCGGGATCGGCTCTGTCGGTGAGCGTGCCGCCGCATTTAGTGTTCAAAGCCATCAAAAGGCGGGAAACGTGCCAGGACTGTCACCGCCTACAATCCGAACGGCTGCTACCCGCTGCTGTTGATGGAGCTTAGCTCGACAGCGGGAGGAGGCCACATAGTTCACACATCACAATAGTTTGGGTTTAGGATTATGAAATTTTACATAATGTTCTTTAAATGACGTGAAGTGTACACTAATTTTTTTTTAATTCATTTCCTAAGGGGTTACAGAGAGGGTTGAAGGTTTGTATGACACTTGATCAAAGAAGTTAGAAATGTAAAAAAAATATTCGTTCTCATGGTTCAAACAAGTTTAGTTATCAATATATTTCAATAATGATGGACGGACTGCGTGAAAGAGGATATGCCTAGAAAGGGTGTAAACCGTGAACTGATGAGTGATAGAGAAGAATGGAAGAAAAAACTCATTGCGCCAACCCAAAAGAAAATTTAATTTTTGGTCAAGGCTGAGTTGAACGTAGTTTTTTACAAAGAACTAGCTAAGCGACTGATCAACTTCTTATGATCTAAAGACGGAAATTTTCTGGCACAAAAAAAAATTGGCGAAACGGTCAAACGAAATCATTTATTGTTTTAATTCAGCCAGCCTGGTAAGTGTAAACCAGTAGGTATGAAATACGTTTATGAGTGGTAATCATTGTACAAAAATGTGTATTTCAGATTTCGTCGACTATCATCATCATCAACAGCCTTGAATAATCCACTGCTGGATATAGGCCTCTCCTTGGAAAGGAGGTTTTGGCCTACTATACCACGCTGGCCAGACGGATTGGTATAGGGTTTGTGTCAAGTTTTCCTTCTCTTTGCCGCTGTTGTCCTGCGTTGTTTGTCCCCTTAGTCGGCTTTTACGACACCCAGGGGATAAATAGGGGTGGTGACACTCCGTATTCTTAATCCGTCAACACACGGACTATAGTCGACTTTAGACGATTGTATATTCTTAGTAAAAAGTTAATATGGAAGAAAGCTATTTATAGGCCAAACTCTATATATTAAGCATAAATCTTTTGATAATAGACATTAATTTATCATTTCATTGTAATACACTGGGAGGCAGTGTGTGTTGTTAACGATTGCCATATCTAAAACATGTCCTGAATCTGAGATAAACTGTAAAGCTATTGGACAAATCGATTTTATATCAGCTTATCTCACAATTACATACTAATTTTATATACACGCATTAATTACTTATTCGTAGTAGAAGCTAATGGTGCATTAGCATTGCAACGTAACTGTGGGAAATTTAATTGAACTTAAAATATTTAATAGTTTAATAAAGCTCTGTGTGTGTGATTAATTGTAATTGTGTGCGAATTAGAAGTAAACGTACAAAATACAGCATGGATTCCGATAAAATAAGTATTGAGGCGGCTATAACCAGAGCCGGTAGGTATTTTTACTTTTTATACGACCGTTGTGATTGAAAAAATTGTACGTATATTTGATTTCTAAATAGTAATGAAAACAAAGACCTCTTTGTCTTCATCACCTGATGATCCACACAGTAAAAAAATAGAAATGTATTTTACAAACCCCTTTTATTGGTGACGGTGTGGAAAACCCCTTGAAGCTCTTCGTCTCCTTGGGGACGAATTAGCCAGGAGTATATTGTTTTTCAAACTAAAAACCACCACAATTGTAGTCTGGGGAGGACTACTAGGCCGTATCCAACGGACTTTATAAACCACCTAAAAAGTGTGAGATACTAGAATACTATAGAAAACCAATTTAATTTAAAACATTAAATATCACAAATTATATACGCATAAGGAAACAAATAAATACAAAGCTTATTCCGTAAGATACCATTGTCAAGTCTTGATGATCTTGTCTAGAACTGAAGAATTGAACCATTTGAATTATAAAATTGAATCCATTGGTTTCATTGATAAATCCTTTTAAAAAAGCTGAACCGACTTCAACCAATACTAACAAAGAGCACTAAAAACCTAGCATCAATCACGGTTGATTTGCTGTCATTTTTTAAATAGTTCCGTTGTCTGTCACCGAAACTCATCATCAGATCCATATGAAATTGAAATGTGACCATTTCGGCATAAACCCCTTTCGAAAGCATAATTCCTCATTTGTTCGAAAGGGGTTTAGCTGTCTATATATAACGGACTTATGCCCGAACATACATAAAAAAATATAATACTCCGAATTGATAAACGGCCTCCTTTTTGAAGTCAGTAAAAAAAATATTGCGATGTTTAACTGAGTGTATGAGATTACTACTGAGATACTAAAAGGGCGACAGAAAAGCATTTGCATCTCCTAAATTCAATTTGTCCTCCAAGTAAACAAAAAAAAACAAATTATCTCTAAGTCTATTATAGTTTTGTTATCTCTAAACAGGATTTGCGATACGAGGAAAATGCGCTTTTTATTTACAATGATAATCGCACGCGAGCGGTGCGGAATTTTATTTTATGTTTTAATAATAATTAATATTTTGACATGCGATGTAGGTTGACGTTCAACCGTCCTTTTAGTAAAACAATTGATTCTGAAAGACAAATAAAGGAGTACGTGAAAGAGTATGTCGAGTGATCAAGGAGAATGGTGAGAGCAAACTCATTGCACTGACCCTAAATAAATTAGAGAATAGGTAGGAATATGATGATGGTAACTCTCTTCATTTTTAGAAAGAAAGATAGACTTTATTTAAGTAAGAGAAACCTAACATCAATTGCCCATAACTCTTTGCAAATTATCACTTTGCCTATCCAGGGAAGTGCCATGTCAAGTTCTCTTGGTACTTTATCATTATGAATCATGATTAAAATAGATTAGTTAGTAACTACATTAATGTTATCGAAATGCAATTCATGGATTACCATGGGGGGGTTGGGGAATGGATGATTGGTATTTTCAGCGTCAATCAACGCTTAAAAAGTGATGTTATTTAGAAGCAGAGGGGGTTGTCTTAGACGGTTATTTTGGATGCCAGTTTTATCACTATAACTGTAAGTTATCTTCATTACGAATTTGAGGAATGATTTAGTCCAAAAGGTACTCGTAAGTATTTTCGAATATTTGCAAGAAGTAGGAGCCTGTGCTATAGTAATTAGGTGTAAACACACATATATTTATAAACCCATTCATTTCAGAAACATATTACACCCAGATACAGAACAAAAGATCGTGCTCATCATACAATTAATTTGACTGCACGATGGCGTAGTGGTTTAAGCGGTCACCTCGCCGCTTCCTACTACGTTGAGTGTTGTGGGTCCGATCCCCACACGGGACAACACTTTGTGTGATCTACAAATTGTTGTTCCGAGTCTGGGTGTTCTTCGTGTCCGTTACCATGTAGTATGTTGGTATGTTTGTAAAGTCCCCCGTGACACAGGATATATTCCTAGTGCGTAAGTTGTCTTTTAAGGAAAAAGAAAGCAATGCCCTGGATGGGAATTGAACCCACAACCTCTGTATTAGCAGTCAGCATCACTGACCACTAGACCAATAGGCTCGTTGAGAAGTAGTCAGAAATTATTCATTGTTCTTATTTCCAGGGTTTGGGTTCTACGGCTGTTTGATGACAGCTCTAACCGCCCTTATATTGATCGCATTTGCTTGTATCGCCTATGGTGTCATGTTTATTGTGCCCACGAGTGCCTGTGAGCTCCAGACTACTACTGCGCAGCAAGGACTATTAGCTTCTGCACCAATAATAAGTAAGAAGTTTCATAACAATAATATTCATCATCAACAACCTTTACTAGTCCATTGCTAGACATATGCTTGTCCTTAGAAGAGAGGTTTTGGCCTACTATAACACGCTGGCCAGACGGGTTTATATTGGATTTGTTTCAAGTTTTGCCTTCTCTTTGAAGTTATGTTGTCCTGCAAAGTTTGCTTCCTTAGCGTCTTAAGACACCCATGATGAATAGAGGTGGTGACACTCCGTATTCTTAATCTGTCACTACACGGAGATATACATAAAAATATTATTAGCTAGGCCAATATAGTTCCCAATAAAATATGAATTTAGCGGTGTAGCGATAGCGTTTATAGAGTAAGTGAGGTAACCGCAGCCCAACCTTCTGCTCCCACTCAACTCCCGTTGTTTGTTTTTAATGGCAGTTCTCGATGAATGGTGGTAGGCACCATCAGAAAACTCGTCTGCTCGTTTGCCTCTTATACCATAAAAACAAATACTAATTTTGATACTACTGCAGCTCCTTAAACATTTTTCCAATAATAATGTAATGGTAGATTTTTAGCTTAAGCATTGTGTTTGTTATTTTCGCACCATACCCTCCGTTGGTGAAAGGGAGGACTTGTGTGAGACTACTGGAGAACCGGTCTACCCACTAAACTCCTCGGCGGCCAACCTCGGCAGTCGAGAGAAGCTCCAGGAACGCATCGGCGGTTTCTAAAAGCCTCCCTGCCTGTGGAACACAATACTTTAGCTAAGAATCTACTTTTACCTTCTTCCTTCTCCTTCCTTAAAAGTTCCCATAGGTGCTGTAATCTACGAGAACTTTTATTCAATTTGACTGAAGTACTTAAACATTACGTTTTCCCAACGTGACTTATACCCGGTGATCTTTCTGCATAGGTCTTTTACTTGGCGGAGTGGTATGGAGTTACTTGGCAGATACTCGAGGCCGGCGCGCCACGCTACTGATATGTCTCGCGGGTGGTACATTATTTAACCTGATCGGCACTATATCCGTCAATTGGATTATGCTGATGGTCATTCAACTTATGGCTGGAATATTGTAAGTTTGAACTAGATTTATTAGTTAATGTTAGAGCCCTCGGACTTTACAGCAACCGCTCAAAAGAAAAATCAATGTCAATTTTTTTTGTTCAGAGTTCTGTAGAAGTGTGGTGTCTGAAAACGGTCCCCTTAAAAGTACACACATCAAAATTGTTTAACTATTTCAGTGCAGCTGGAATCTACTCCGTGTCTATGACATTACTCAGTGAGTCTATCCCGATGACTCATAGGAACTCCGCCATTCTAATAGTGGTCAGTGTCATGTTGCTTGGACAAGGCATCAAAGGATGTAAGCAAATGTTTTTCAAATTATATTTCCATAATATTATAAATATCAGCTTCTAGTGTAATTACAGTAGTAGGATTAACAAAATAAAGTTACGAA